GAAGAACCCTTTTCTGGTACTGTTTAGAACCATTTTTCTTAAGAGTGTAGTTCCCCGAGGGAACAAGACGCTGCGTCAGAAAATGCTATGGAAACGCCTTCAGCGTGACCATGCTCTGAATCACGCGTGTAATCAGTCCAATGGATGGGCGAGACGTCACGAGCGGGTGACGTAGCAACAAGGAAGCTATAAAAGTACGCGCGGTGAAACCGGCGTCAGCCTCGAGGAATGAAGCAAACGCTCGCAGGGATGCCGGAAGTATGGCACTGAGACGCAGCATCTCGTTCCCTCTGGGAACTAGGGTTACATGCGTAACCTGGAGACGTTCCCCTTCAGGAACTCAAGCTGCATCGGAAAACACTATGGGAACGAGTATGCCCACGCCGCCAGACTTACAAATCCCTGCCAGTGTGGAAGAGCACAACTAGGGCGAGAGAACAGAAGAGCCAGGTGTGGCTCGCATATCTAGGTCATAGAACCTGACGAACGTTAGGGGCGTGGACCAACCTGCAGCGTTGCAGATGTCCTGCATAGAAACAAGGCCTTGGATGCCGCAACACTTCTGGTAGAGTGAGCCTTGACCCCCCAGAGGCGAGGGGAGATCAGAGGACTCATAAGCAATAGAAATGGCATCCACTATCCACCAGCTGAGGGTCTGTTTTGTAGCAGAAAGACCTCTCTTAGGGGGACCGTAGCACACAAGCAGTTGGTCCGCCCTTCTCCACAGGGCAGCACTGTGGATGTATGTGTCCAGTGCGAGGCTTCTGCTGGTCAGGCTCCCGGAAGAGAGATCTCCTCAATAGACTCGAAGGAAGGCTTGCATAGAGCTTCTAACACCACAGCCAGGTCCCATTGTGCCACGTGAGATGCCGACCGCTCTACAGACTGCAGGCTGAGCGGCCACGCATGACCGCTCCCCAGCCGGTGAGGGATGCCTCCGTCACTAGCGTTACGCAGCGACAAGGAGCTCCCAGCACCAGGCCCTGAGACAAGAACCAACATTTCCTCCACATGTCTAAGGCACGTAGGCAGTGCCGCGTGACCTTGAACATGCGAAGAGGGTTTCCCCTCGGGGAGAACCCCCTGGTCTTGAGCCACCACTATAGGGGTCTCATGTACAGCAGACCAAAAGGTATCACGTTGGACGCAGCTGCCATCAGACCCAGCAGTTTTTGAAACCTGTTTGAGAGTGAGTGACTGGCCTAGCTTCACCCTCTTGACTGCTGTGAGGATTGACTCGATCCGAGCAGGAGACAGATGTGCCTGCATCGTGGTCGAATCCCACACCACACCAAGATAAGTGGTTCACTGTACTGGAGAAAGCACACTTTTCTTGGCGTTCATCCTTAACCCCAGCTCAGCTTTCATATGGGCTGCTCTCTCATCTCGATGCTGAACCGCCACCTGCTCCGATTGAGCTAATATCAACCAATCATCAATATAATTCAGTATGCAAAATAGGTAATACAAATAGGTAGCCTAATTTTGATACTTGCAATGACTATCCATTATGACATGTAGGCATTTTTATATTTATGTAGCCTACACAATAATAATATTTTACATTGTAATCCTTTAATTTTTAATATTTGACATGCTTGTGTGCTGCTGTGCGCCCCTGTGTGTGTAATAAGCAGAGTGTACGCCCGCTGTGGACCCGCCTATACTAATGCGCTCTTTAAATAACAAAAAAAAAAACTACTGCGCCATTGACTTTAGACCAGGTTTTAGTTGGTCAATAGCGCAGTCTATTTTAGTTGCCTCAAAATAGCAATGCGTCAACAATGCACCTGAACACACCTCGTTTTCAGACCAGCACGCCCATGAGCGCACAAATGGGCGCAAATGCATTTGCTATTTAAATGACATGGCACAGGACGTGAAAATGATTAGTGTCAGGCTTAAACTAGCAAAAAACACTTGCGTTGCGCCTGACACCACATTGCGCCGGGTGTATGATAGAGCCCTAAGAAGTCCCCGACCAAGAAGTCCTGACGCCGGTGGCTCAGGACTTCCGAGGGCAGGCCCCTCTGGGGAAGAGCGGTGTACACCTCATCATACGGTGCCCGTCTCTCCTCAGTGCCCTCAGGGGATCGGTCTGCCAACCCTGCCACCTACGGTGCTTCAGGGCGCAGCTGTCTGCAGCGAGCGCTTCTCTCAGTTACCGCATGGAAACGTAGTGGTACTAAGAGGCTCGCTATCTCTTCGGAGGTCTCTAGAGCAGCTAGTTCCCTGCCGGTCCGCTACTTCAGGGAACTGAGCTGGCCGCTCTGATTACACCAGAAGTCAGTCTCGAGAGACTGATTCCCTTAGTAGACTATTTGGCAGCATGGAAACTACTGCCAAATGTGTCTCAGTGGGTCCTGCACACTGTAGAGAGAGGCTACCGAATCCAGTTCGGTTCTCCTCCGCCTCATTTCAACGGGGTCAGTCCCACTCTGGTGGGCCCCGAGCAGGCTCTGGTAATGGAACAAGAAGTAGACACTCTCTTGAGGAAGGAGGCCATCAAGGTGGTCCCTCCTCAAGAAAGAGAATCTGGGTTCTACAGCCGGTACCTTATCATTCCGAAGAAGGATGGAGGGTTGTGTCCCATTTTAGATCTGCGTCAACTGGACCGCTCAGTCATGTGACTGAAGTTCAGGATGCTTACAATCAAACAAGTCGTGTCTCAGATCAGGTCCGAGGACTAGTTTCTCACGATCAATCTAAAAGACACATACTTCCACATCTCCATCCTTCCTCATCACGGGAAGTTCCTGATGTTTGCTTTTGGGGGCAAAGCTTACCAATACAGAGTTCTTCCTTTCAGGTTTGCACTCTCACCCCGCACTTTCACGAAGTGTGTAAATGCTGCTCTGGCTCCTTTATGACTCCAGGGCATCCGCATACTGAATTATATTGATGATTGGTTGATATTAGCTCAATCGGAGCAGGTGGCGGTTCAGCATCGAGACGAGAGACTGGTGTTAAGGCTAAATGCCAAGAAAAGTGTGCTTTCTCCATTACAGAGAACCATTTATCTGGACGTGGTGTGTCACGAGAGTGAAAGAAGCCGGTCACTCACTGTCAAGCAGTTTCAAAAACTGCTGGGTCTGATGGCAGCTGCGTCCAACGTGATACCTTTTGGTCTGCTGTACATGAGACCCCTATAGTGGTGGCTCAAGACCAGGGGGTTCTCCCCGAGGGGAAACCCTCTTCGCATGTTCAAGGTCACGCGGCACTGCCTACGTGCCTTAGACATGTGGAGGAAATGTTGGTTCTTGTCTCAGGGCCTGGTGCTGGGAGCTCCTTGTCGCTGCGTAACGCTAGTGACGGAGGCGTCCCTCACCAGCTGGGGAGCAGTCATGCGTGGCCGCTCAGCCTGCGGTCTGTAGAGTGGTCGCCATCTCACGTGGCACATTCAACTGCCTGGAGATGCTGGCCGTATTTCTAGCATTGAAACACTTTCTCCCAGACCTAAGAGATCACCATGTGTTGGTGCGCACCGACAACACAGCGGTGGTCTCTTATATCAACCACCAGGGAGGTCTGCGTTCGCGCCCACTTTACAGGCAGGCGCATCTGTTATACAATATAAGTGGGACTCCAGTATTGCATGGTTCAGGTCACTTATTTTCCTTACAGGTGTCAGATAAGAAACAAAGGACACAAATGAGCCATAACGGACACATTTATATATGCAGATTTTAAACCACAATCATTTAATTTCCATTTCCACAGACTTTAATCTTCTTCAGTTACACTTCTGTGTCTGGAAGAATATCATTCATTGTCTGAGACACAAATGTTTCCAGTTAATTCTGAATGTTAAGATGATGTATTTCTGTTTTTAAATGATAATAGTTCCTAAAACGGTTTTATTGCTTCAATCCTGATAATTCTGCAAGTGTAAACTGAATAGTGAAATCACATGCCTGTTAGAATATGAATACATTTCATGAAATTGATTACAGAGATGTTTTTTGTTTTCTAAAAATGTTAGAAAATCCTAGACAAAACAATAGTTGGCGGTCAAGAACACACTCTTAAGCACACTCTCATACTTTAACTAAGTATGCAGTACTAAGTATTGCAACACAAGTAGTTCTCTGTGGTCTCTGATTTGTGCACAATATACACTTTTCAGGAAAATTGCATCATTACATCATGTTTCATTATGTATGTATTTGGTCAGTGGCATACGTTAAGTCCCTCATATACTGTATAATAGACGCTCTTACAAAAAAAAAATACATATCTTTTATTTTTCTTCTTTCCATTTCATTGCCCCTCTCTGAGGCTTGAGGAGTGAAGTGTTTGCTTTCAAAAGAATCAAGATCGTGTCTGTAGTCAAAGGGGTTCAAGAACTAGTATTTATATTTGGCCACATCATGTTTGTGAATTTGATCGACATGAGAAGCGTAAATCTAGGACTTTCTATTGATTTTTTTTTATTGTTATTTATGTACTAATTTATGTATTCTTTTTGTTTTCTACAGTTCTTTGCCAGCTTACAGAATGAGAATGATGAAAAACTGTACTGCTTCATGTAGTGAAGGGTCATTTGGTAATTTCTTATCACACATGACGTCTCAGAACACACACCTTAGATCCAATATAAAAAGCCAACTTTCTCATCTCAGTTTGAATTTCACTGTTGTCGTCTGGCTGTAAGCAACTACATCTTCAGATGTTCTCTTGCTATTGAACACCTTAAACTACAAAAACAAAACTCAGAATCTGACAAGAGACAACAATATCCTCAGGTAAGTTTGAGTTAATGTAAAAGGTCAATATATCACATTCATCAGTGAACATTGCAGGTTTAATTTTGAAATAATTTTGCTATTTTCCTTAAAATACCACAGATTTAAAACTATATTACATGTGCTATGTAAGACATTGTGGTGAACACAGTTTTGTTATGCAACATATTCCTATTGGAGTCATACATCTAGTATTTGTGAAATGCTGTTTTGTTTCTGCTTGTTTTCAGCATCTGTTCTTCTCTATTTCAGCTAGATCATCTGAGGGATTCGACTGAATCAAGATGCTGCTGATCATTGAAGCTCTTCTTCTCATTTTAGCTGCTCTAGGACAGGTAAGCTTGTGTTCTAGTATGAATATTACAGACATGAATACTGATGATTGATCATCATGATTCCTGCTGCTGCAGGATCACAGAGCTGCTGTTGAAGGGAAGATAGCTCCACTGGATATGGCACCGAATTCAGCTGATGATCAATATAAGGGCTGTAGAGAGAACATGGCAAACCTGGTGGAGACAGAATATCTAAATAAGGAAATAGCTGCATTTAAAACGTTTTGGCAAAGAGGTGCAGACTATGTCAGGGAACCAAAAGATGATTTGAAAAAGAATAATTTAATCGCCATTTATGTGTACACTGATTATGGTGTATATGATGATTTAAAATATGCTGTTTATAATGATAAAGAAAAATACAAAGACAAGACATTCACATGGTATTCACTTCACTTTCTGTTAACAGAAGCGATACAGATTCTGAAGAGACTACAAAATAAATGCTATGATACTTATCGTGGTACAAAAGATACATACATATATGATGATAAGGACAAAGAGGTTCGCTTTGGCTATTTTACATCCTCCTCTCTTGATCGTAGCAGAACTCCATTTTTTGGAACTAAAACTTGTTTTAAAATCCACACGTGTGAAGGTGCTGATATTACAAAATATTCTAAGCTTCCTCGTGAGAAAGAGGTGCTTATTCCTCCATACGAGAAGTTTAAAGTCACTGCGGTCAAGAACAGAGCAGATCAGCCTGATCTCTGGTGTGAAACGGTGTTCACTTTGAAAAGCTCTGGAAAAACAAGTGAGCTGAACTGTGCAGTGGCACCTAAGGATACAGCAAAACTTTAAATCTACATTAATTTTAAAAGCTGCTTGAATTATAAATATAAGATATGATAGCTTGATTCATCAATGTTATAAAATGTTTAAAGTAAATAAAAATCAGCCTTCATATTACGATGAAGTTTAGCAATTTTCAAATGCAACTCTGTACAATAATTTGGGACATGTCAAAATACAGCTAGAACCCTGGTTTTGTGATTTTGTTATTTTATAGCGTTTCTCGCTCAGAAATGAGAATTCAACTATCATTTATGAATTCCAAACCTGTATGCACTCAAAAAGAAGAAGAATTCTGCTGCTTGTTCAATATACTTGATTAAAACAAGTTGATTCAACACAATTCAATGTAATTTCATTATGTTCAGCCAATGTATAAGACATCACTCCTAAAAGTCTTTGTATAATCCACAGTTATCAATGCACTCTCTTCACGTTAAAATACTGTCTATATGAAAACCAGGACCAACCTTCTGGATGAGAAGATATGAATGTATGTGTTGATATGAATGTCACAGCTAGTTATACGAGGGAGATTCATGTGTATTATGTTGGCCAGTCTCTGAATTTCATGGCATCTGTGTAAAAGGCAACATATAAAGCACATAAACATGTTCAGCCCTCTCCCCGAGAAGGGTATAACTGCAGCCTGGACATCTCCAAATGGGGGCGGGAACTCCAAAACGGGGTGGGAGCTCCAAAATAGGGTGTGGCTTCCTCCCATTGACAGACAAGCACATGACACGCATGCGCAATTTTTTCCCCCAATCCACTTCAGTGCAAACTCCGCCCCACTGCCGATTCTAAAGATTTTATTGGTTGTGTCAATTAAAGTGTTGATTTCCTACACTATGCTACAAAAAATTAAAGCTAATGCTTAAACCTACCCCACACCTGGCCCAAACCTTAACCAGTGAAATTGACTACACGGCGGGATTGGCGCTGAATAGCGTGGTAAAGAAAGTTGGGTAACGCTTTAGATTACAACCCGCAATGTACTGCGTAAGTAAATGGAGAAAATTAATCGAAGCGCAGACGAGGGACAACTTGGAAACAGCTGGAATGGCGCATGAGATGAGCCTATCCGTGTTTGCGGCGCTCATGACAGGAATATGTGTCGAAAATACAAGAAAACTAATCGACACGAAGAGGAGAGAGATTTTTGAAACTGACTGGAATGTGTTCTTTTAAAACTGGAGGGTT